GAATTGCCGAATTTAGTGTGATGGCTGGTTCTTTCGCTGTTTTTGAAGCATTGGGAATTGAAGAAACATTTGATGTTTCTTGTTCTGTATTCCCTCCACAAAATCTTCAATTTCTTGAAATTAATGTTTTGAAGTATCAAGTTCCTGGTGATTCATTAATATTTAAATAAAAAATATAACGGGGCTGGGCACATTAAAATTTCACAGAGGGCCTGGTGAAGACTACTTGTGCCTAGAAAGTGCTTTAACCGTAACCAGTCAATTCGTTAGTGAACAAATCCATAAATTCTACCTACTAATGCCTAAAATTTTTATTTTTTATATGGGGATCAAAAGAGATATCGAGGATTTAGAACTGGTGGCCATATTAAAAATTAATTTATTCTTAAGAATACAATTCTGCCAAACCTGGAGATTGGGAAAATGGAAATTGGCAAAAAAACAGAATGGAGAATATAGAGGAACATAGAAGAAGAAACGAATGGGCATACAGACTTTTCATTGTAAAGTCTATAGAGTTTTACAATAAATTGTTTGATGATGAAGAAATACCCAAAAGTAAAATGCCATCATCTTTGGTTGAATTGTTTAATAAAATTAAATATTATTTCATTAACCAACATCCTTTAATTAAATTTAACAATTTTCCTAAACACGATAAATTTGTTTATATTGGTGGAATTACCGTTGAAGATCACCAACTTTTAACTAAAGGAAAACAGTTAGTAGACAATGAGGTAGGAAAAGCTAAAATTATTATGGTGTTAAATGAATAGTAATAAATTTAGTGATAAAATTAATTTCACTAAATATCCTTACGGAAAGTTATGAAGGTTTTTTGTGCCAGCTTAGCTATCAAAATCAACTTTTCATATTTCCTTACCCATCTAACCCCTCCCCAAGGTACCGCAGAGCTATTTTGTTTAAAATTGTCGATTCCGGAACGCTCTGGTATGGTTCAATTCAGCACGTCGAGGCGCATAGAACCATACCAGGGCGTCCCTCCTACTCCCACTTTGACTGTGTTTTTTTCTGACAGATTAATTTTTAAGCCTGACTGCGTTATTCTTGTCACATTTGGAACGGTTGCCTATAAAGCCTATCCAATAGACAAAATGATTGAAGTATTTACACAATTTACTCAGTGTTATTTTCATGTTCGATCAGATAAAAATTCACAATTCGTCAATGGTTATACAAGTGAAAAATCGCTTCCACAAAAAGAGATATTATGTAAATTTAAATTTATTTACATTTGTATTAATTTATTTCAAGCTCAAACCAACACAAAAGTATTTATTTCACATTGTGGGCAAAATAGTATTAATGAGGTATTTTATAAAATAAATATGAATTACTAGAAATGGTCAATACTAAAATTGGCCCCATTAAAAACCTCCTTCCTTGGAGGAGGAAAAACTAGAATAACTTTATTAGCTAGTTTAGTGCTTTATAGTAAAGATTAAAACTGATGAGTATATTTTTGCCGAAGGGATGCCGAAGAGATGAATCTCTTTGGAAGAATTGACATGCTTCAAGTCGGAGATCCTTAAAGTTATAATTTGATGTAGGAGCTGGATCAGGGCTGCACGCAATAGAAATAAAAATTCCGCAACTCGCAATCCGCCACTCGCAATTTTTTTTAAAAAATCCGCAAACGCAAACTGCAAAAACCCCGTAATTTACGCAATTTCCGCAACTCGCAATCCGCAATTCCAAATCTGGATATCCGAAAAATTCCTATACACACTGGAATTATAAACCCACACTTTAAAATTTATGGTACTATAGTATATTTTCCCCCATAAGTCCGCAAATGTTTGTCATCAACTGTTCGTCTTTGCCTTCTCCTTCAATAAAGACAGAGTATTTTCCTTTATTTTTTAAGAAATGAAGTTAAGTAGCTTCTTGATGGCTAAAGTAATTATTAATTCTTGACCATTTTCTTATCTTTATGCAAGAAGGAATGAAGGAGAAGGCAAAGACGAACATTTGCGGACTTTTGGCAACCAAAAAATTTTTAATAAAAAAAATTTTTTCTAGTCAATGTATGCTGGTGTTCCTTTAATTTGTATTCCAAAATCTGGAGATCAAATGTATAATGCTTCGATTGTCGAATCAAAAGGAGTTGGCATTTATTTAAATTATACGCCATTAAAGGGCTCTACTGATGAACAATTAGAGAGTTTTACTGAGTCTCTCAAAAACGCTCTTTATCAAGTATTATATGACGAGTACGGAAATTATTATAACAGTAAATATAGTTTGAAGGCCGAAGAGATGAGAAATGAAATTCTTCAAAATTACAACAAACCCAAACCCGAAACGATGAAAGACAAATTTTTGAGTAAAGTTTAGGGGTATACCTATTAGTGAGAAATTTTGGTAAGAAAAAAGAAGAAAATTTGGTTTTGGTGGTATTTGGGGTATTTTTTAAAATTTATTTTTTGGGTGATTTATCTAAAAAACAAAAATTGAGAAAGTTGATTGATTATCCAATCAGGGATTTTGCACTTCTCCTAAAGAGTGCCTTTTTTATTTTTTATTTTTTTTTATTATCGGATATGTTTTTTAAACTGTAATTACTCAGGAAAGGTTGTTGGAGTTTGTATTTTTTGGTTTATATAAACACAAAGGATCCTATTATTATCCGAAACAAGGCCTTTTTCTACCAGAAACCAGACTCGAAAAATTTTTTTAAAAATCCATCTGAAAACCCAACTTTTCTCTCACACATCCTTTAATTTTGACAGAAAAATAGAATTTTTTAAATTAATTTTGGCAATTTATATATACATATTTGGGTGTTTAGGCATCTATTACTTCATTTAAGGCATCTACTTATTCATTTTTAGAAAAATATTTATAAAATAATTAACAGAAATTTATGAATTTTATAATTTCCAATTCCAATTTTAGAATATCTTTCCACAACATAGATATGATTTTCGACAATAAAAATGGGATGCAGGCCAAGGTACCGCGAGGCCAAGGCTATAACTTCATTAAACATTACCGAATCCGGGACGCCCCCACTCGATTCAGTTCACCAGGTGAATCGATAACTTTGAACGAAGTTATGGCTCCAAGGTGCCTTGGAGTCGGAATCGGCCCAACTGTCGAAATTTAAACTTTAAAAATTTTGGGAACTCGGAATAAAAATCACATAAATTCGGCGATCGTAAGTCGCAACTCGAAAGAATCTTGGAACAAACGTCAGAACTTGGGGAGGTAGGAATCGGACTTGCAATCCACCTCTGATTTTAATATAATTTTGTAGTAGGTTCTTTGTGATAAAATAAAAGTAAAATGAAAAATTTTTAAGGACATGTACAAAAAATTAATCCATTTTTTCACATAGAGCCCAAAATTCCGCCGGAGCCAATTCTCCAGAAAGTTTGAGCCGAATTTCCCTAAAAGTTTGAGCACAATTTTTCAGAGTCAAATTTTTAGAAACCATGACTCAGCCCCCCTCCTCTCCAATAAGTTAATAACTCCCTGTAGAAAAACTATAGAGAAACAAGTTCGTCATGCTGTAGCATTTCTTTTTTAAATTAAAAAATTTTCTCTAAATTTTACTAAATTTTAAACAAATTAAAGATTTAAAAATTTTTAACAGTTGTGCATCGTCTGATCGGATCCAGACGATGCAGAGTATTTATCTGATATTTGGATGATGAAAATAATGAATAAATTAATTTCACACGCATTTTTTGACATAAAATAAAAAATTCTGTTAGTATCGGTCAGTATCGATTCTCGGTATCGGTCTCGGCTCAAAATGATGGTATCGGTCTCGGTATCGGGTTCTTGAGTATCGGTCAATCTCGGTCTCGGGTTGGCCGATACCAGTATCGTTTTGATCAACTCTAATTAAACCTTATGTACATAAACATACGATCCCTCGTAGAATTTTCTATTATTATTTAAATCTCTCCCTCTCTTTCTTTCTCTCTGATGGCATTGCCAAGAGAGTCTGAGAAATAGAGATTCAGTAAGAAGGAAATTTTACGAGGGATCGTATGTTTATGTACAAAGATAAGGTTTAATATTAATTACAAACTACAAAAAGCTCTGAATTTTAGTGGTAAATAAAAAGTCGCAAAGGTTGAAAATTTGCGAATTATTTTAAAAAATCCTTCGTTTTTTAATTATTTAATATAAAAAAATATTTTTGACAATTTCTGGCCTCACAAACTGAAAATGAATCCCCGTATTTACTTGAATAATTACCATGGGTAACTATTGTTTCGATCTTCTGTTGGAAGAGAGGTTAAATTGAATTGTTTGAAAGAAAAAATTCCTAATTTATCGTTGGAGGAAGCAGAGCTGTTTCGAATCAAAAAAAATTTGAAATCAAAATTTCGAAACAGTTCATATATTATGCCTTTACATACTAGAGATCGATATTTTCAAAAATCCTGGATCTGGATTCTGGATCTGGATTTAGGTTAGTAACCTGGACAGGATTCTGGATCTGGTCCAGGAAAAATCAATCCAGACTGGATCAAGATCCAGACCTATCTTTATTACATACTACATACAACAAAGATAGGGTACAATTTGGCAATCCTGTCCTCCCTTATACCCTTATAATTTATTAATTCATTTGCTTAAATATTTAATAAATTTAAAATTTTCAATTAAAAAGATATTTAATGAAAGGTGTGTATGGCCTAGATGTCGGTAAAATTGTTTTTGCGGGATCCTGCATGCGAGATTTTCCTTCCAGCTCGGGATCCTGTCAACCGAAGATGTTGGAGGGAACTAGCCAAAACTTTTCAAATGTTTTTACGTACAATAACAAAATTATTTTTAAATTTTAGTAAAGTAGCTGGGCTATAGCTATTTCTCTCCTTTAGCTAGTGCAAAAGGTTATTCGGCGGCTGGGAGCGAACCAGCATCTTCAGTAGACCGGACTGATGTGTTAGCCATTACACCACGCCGCCTACTGCTCAGCTTAGGAAATTAATAGCTATATGTTTTACATTTTTAAGGAAATGTACATCAAATTAATTTTTTACATTTTCTTATTTTTTCTAATTTTTATCAACTTCTCCAATGAAAAAAAGTGTAAATGTCCTTTAAAACAAACAAAAAGTTCTTTGTTTCATCGTCGATTTAAAAGAGGGGATTGTTGTTCGAAAGGAGGAGGGGGAGCTACAGATGATGATAATGAACGCTATCGCAACACTGAAAAACGGCCCATGGGGGAAGAAATTCAAGCAGGACAAACTCAAAGAAAGGGTAAAAAGGGTAAAAATGCTTTGTACATTTGTGACAATTTTTTCTACTCCCATGTGCAATTTAATGTAAATTTTTTTAAATTTAAATTTAATTTATAGTCTCAGGAAATAGTAAAAGAGAGTGTGCTTGATCATGAGAACTTTCCTTCCTTTCGCTATGACTCAATATTAGAGTTCAGCGGAATCTGGATCCCGGTCGGTATCGGGCGGGATTATCCCAGGTTTTTTGAATCCCTATCCAGATTTTTTAAATCCCAAGAACGAAATATGAATCCCAATCATGATTTCGGTCAATCTTGGATCCCGTGCCGAGATCAGGATCGTTATCACAATTCCAAAACCCCGATCCCGATTTTTTCTACATCCCGATACCGCTGAATTCTACTCATTATAAACTCAAGATTCCGTATTTTCCCAATGATTTCCTTTTTTACTCATTCACCCCTTACAGGTGTGAATGGATTTTATAATTTTATATTGGATTAATATAAAAAATACTGTAAATAATCATAGCTTGTCGACTTTATAAATATGTAAATCATTTATTTTTAGACATTGTTAGCCAACATTTTGGCAACAAAGTATAATGTGGTTAGTTTATATGTTTTTACTGATATTTTAAGGAAATAGTCAGAACATAATTTACGAATTTTTTAATTTAATTTTGCTTGCTTTCTGCTTTATTTGTGCTGATTTTTGGCATTTCATATCCTTGGGATTTTTGAATTGTTCGACGCCTATGACCAGCTTTTATGGGTTTTTCTGGATTAAAAACCCAGGCTCTAGCTTTCAAAATTTATTGAATTTGGCCGGCAAAATTTAATTTGGACTGAAATTGCATTTGCGCGCCGACGCAATATATTTTTGCTATTCCAGGATATGCTTGTTTACACTAAACGTGGAGGAGAAACAGTACAATCAGATAATTTTCGAATTATTCCCGTTCCAATAAATGAAGAAATATTGGAGAAATTTGAAGGAAATATGTATAAATATAAAGAAAGTGATATATATTTTTCTATAGGAATTTATAAAGGTAAGAAAAAAGATTAAATTTTTTTCCAAAGAGCTGATATTAAATTTAGTTATCACACAAAAAAAATATTAGAAAATGGCCAAAACCGAAAATGGAATGGCCATTTTTCCTATCCGGTAGTAGTGATGTTTGAGACTCTCAGTCTCGCTTCGGGATTGATTCCCGGCTCACAAACATCAGTACTATTATAATTTGCTATAGTTGAGACTTTTTTTAAACAAATACATTTTTAAAGAAATAATCACCAATGAAAATGGCATTCTTGATCGACTTCAACGAGATGAAAATAATAATACTAAGGAGTATGATATTGGAATTGCCGAATTTGATGTAATGGCTGGTTCTTTTGCTGTGTTTGCAGCATTGGGAATTAAAGAAACATTTAATGTTTCCAGTTCTATATTCCCATCAACATTTCTTCAATTTCTGGAAGTTAATGTTTTGCAATTTGAAGTTCCTCGTAATAATTTATTAATATTTAGGTTAAAAGATTGCTTTTATTGCTTATTTCGTGTCCCACTCGCAAACTGTCCCACCGACACCCCCCCCCCTCCCCCTAAATTTGTCAATGAACATCAAAAAACTGCTGGAAAATAAAAAAATTATTTTGTTAAGAATACAAATTTGCCAAACCTGGAGATTGGGAAAATGGAATTTGGCAAAAAGACAGAGAGGAGAACGAAGAGGAACATACAAGGGCTAACAAGGAAATTAAATCTATTTTCGAAAATTCTAAATACTCTTACGATAAATTGTTTAATGATAATAGAAGAAAATCTATCAAAAAGCCATCAACTTTGGATGTTTTATTTGAAAAAATTAAATATCATTTTATAAATCAACATCCTTTAATTAAATTTAACAATTTTCCTAAACACGATAAAATTGTTTATATTGGTGGTATTGCTGTTGAAGATGACAGACTTTTAACTGAGGGAAAACAGATGGTAGACAATGAGGTTGGAAGGCTTATTAAAAATATATTTAACTTTATATCTGAACCAGGGATCATGAATTCCCGATCTCAAATCCCAATTCTAAAAATTCTTGTCGGCAGGATATGATTTACACCAGAAATTATGTCATGATAAAGTCATTTTAAGACCTGGCCATAAGGACAGTTTTTGCTGTCCTTAATATATTCAGACCATGGATCCTGACGACCAGGATGGACGCAACTGCTGAAAATCCTTTTCACTTGTATTCAGCCTGATCTGAAAGGATCAGGATGATCCTGATCAGATCATGATCAGGATTTATGAAAATCATGGGTTGTAAATCTCAATTCCAAAGGCGGGAATTGAATTTGTGCCCGTTTATTTTAGAAGGATATTTAAAAATGCGTACAACTCAATGAAAAATTTTTTTATAAAAAATGAAAAACTGATAGTATTATAGCAAATTTAATGGGCTTTCAGAAAGGTGTAAAATAAAATTTTTTATTTGAAATCTCGATGAAGGGACCTTCGTTTTTTCTGAATTTCCTATTTATCTCTCTATGCATTATTTTTTATCATTTTTAACTTACAACAAGTTTGGGTGTGCCTCTTTTTTGATACAAATAAAATTTAAGCCCGCCTGTGTTGTTCTTGTCTCATTTGGAACGGTTAACTATAAATTATTGCCAATTAGCAGAATGATTGAACATGTATTTGCACAATTTACACAGTGTTATTTTTATGTTCGAACAGACATACCTTCACAATACGACAATGTATACACTACTGAAGATCTTCTTCCACAAAAACAAATATTATGTATATATTTATTTAACTATTATTTAACTAATTTACCGTATTTTCTCTATTAGAATGCCATGGCATTCTATTTTTCAATCACCTTTTAAAGTAGCATTCTATTAGAGACTGGCATTCAACTGGAGAGTGGCATTCTATTTCTCGATGAGTAAATTTTAAAATTTGAAAAAAATTCCGACTAGAAACCCCATTGACTCAAGCTTTATTTTTAAACAAAAATAGTAAAAATGCTAAAATAATACCCAAATTTAAATGATACCCAAATTTACTAATACCCAAATTACTAATACTCAAATTTAAAATTTTCGAATTATTTGACAAATACACAAAAATTATGTTTATACTATACAATAATTCAGTATCAGCGGCAAAAACTTTTTCAAATCTCCAAGTAGCCTCTGTATTATCAATTAATCTCGAATCTGCTCATATCCCTCTTACTCAGCCGAAACTCATCTACTAATATCCCTCTTAATCCCTATATCATTCTTGTTCCCTTGAATCACCGATATCTCCCTTCTAATACTAAAATATCTCTAATCTCTTTATTCCTCAAATCTGATTAGGTATATAATTCTTGATCGCCATAAATTCCCCCCATATCACTCTAAATCCGCTTAATCACTTTAATCCACCAATATCATCCGATATAACTCAAATCCCCTGATATACTGAAATAGTTTCTTGGTTGGATCCCGGAAAATTTGAGGAACGGCATTACTGGATCAAATATTTCTTATAGTTAAAAATTTTCATTAATAAAAAAGGGTGTCATTCTATTAGAGACTGGCATTCAAATAGAGAGTGGCATTCTATTTTTCAATCATCTTTCAAGGTGGCATTTTATTAGAGACTGGCATTCAACTGGGGAGTGGCATTCTAATAGAGAAAATACGGTAGTTTAATTTTTAGCTCAAACTAACATAAAAGTATTCATTTCACACTGTGGGATAAATAGTGTTAATGAGGTATACATATATGATTAATATACTAAATATGAATCGCTAAAAATAATCAAACTAGTGACTGAAACGATGTCCAGTTCAAAAACCTGAGTTGCCAAAATTAAGATTCTTCGAGATATTATTCTCGAAATTATCTATCCTCGAGTCCGATCTCCATTCTTCGAGATATTATTCTCGAAATTATCTATCCTCGAGTCCGATCTCCATTCTTCGAGATATTATTCTCGAAATTATCTATCCTCGAGTCCGATCTCCATTCTTCGAGATATTATTCTCGAAATTATCTATCCTCGAGTCCGATCTCCATTCTTCGAGATATTATTCTCGAAATTATCTATCCTCGAGTCCGATCTCCATTCTTCGAGATATTATTCTCCTGTCTCCATAAAACCAATATAGGAAAAACACTCCAAAAGCATATCATCCAAGATAAATGGGAGCCATTTGTTGGTAAAGACAAGGTGGAATTGATACTGAGAGGTCTAGAATAGTTTGCGGGATGGAATCCTCCTATGCGTCTTCTTGTACGGATTCCATCTCAGATTCCGAATTTTAAGCAAGGATTTACCTGGCGAGAACCGTCTCGGTAGTGAGGATTAGTTAGTAAAAAAAATACTTTTGAGCGAAGCAATGCTTAAGGGATGAGTCGAAGGGAGGTGTTTAATTAAAAAAATTTTTAGTCAATGTATGCTGGTGTTCCTTTGATTTGTATTCCAGTAGATGGAGATCAAATGAATAATGCTTCAATTGTTGAAGCAAAAGGAGTTGGCATTTATCTGGACTTTTTATTAAATAATTTTATACAAAATCTTCGGAATGCTCTTAATCAAATACTAAATATTGATGAGGATGGAAATTGTAATTTTAAGAGTAAATATAGTTTGAAGGCCATAGAGATGAGAAATGATATTCTCCAAAATTACGAACGTGAAACGATGAAAGACAAATTTTTGGGTAAATTTTAGGTGGTATTTTAGTGAAGGAATTTGTCTAGCAAAAGAAGAAAAAATTGGAAGAGTTTTTGGGGTATTTGGGTTAAAGAATTTTTTGGGGTTATTTTGTTTTTAAATTCTTTAAAAATTTATTTTAAAAGGGGCTGCCGCCTGTGATGCGGAAATTTCAAAATTTGGACGGTTCCGGTTATGGAACCAGAACCTCCGCATCACTGGTTGCCGCATTTTTATATTATTCATTTATTCAAAGGCGGCAACCCTTTATTCTAAAAAAATTTATTTATTTTTTTGGTGATTTATCTAAAAAACAAAAATTGAGAAAGAAAATTGATTCAATCAAAGATTTTGCACTTCTCTTAAAGAGTGCCTTTTAATTATTTTTTATTATCGGTTTTAATTACCCAAGTTGAGAAAAATTATAAACTACAGGATTCTATCGAATTACCCAAGTTTAATTACCCAAGTTTGAGATAAAAGCTTTAAATACGCCGAAATGGCACCAACAAAATCTGAATTACAACAAATAATGGATAAATTGGCTGCATTAGAATTAAAAATCGATAATAACAACACAAAATTTTCTTCTTTTTCTAATGAAATCCTTCAAATTAAAAATGCTTTAACAACTATTGAATCTAAAATTCAAACAATCGAAACAACAATAGAAACAAATTTAAAAAACAACGAAAATTCAGCATCTGAATTGGAACGTCGCAGATCAATTGTATTGATTGGTTTGCCAGAATCTAAATCAACAACACCTTCTATTCGTGTTGCTGAGGATAAGGCTGCTGCCGAAGGCGTTCTCAACTGGTTGGGGGTTGAGGCCCCATTCGTTTCGTACAGAATGGGTAAATTTGACCCAACAAATCGAGGTTTACGTTTGGTTAAAATTATTTTTGCTGCTTCTCAATTTCAAAGGATTTCCTTGGCAGAATGGAAGCGACGTCGAAATGATATGCGTAAGCAAGAAAACTGGTCACGGCTCCTTATTCGACCAAGCTTAACAAAAGAACAGTTGGAAGCGGACAGAATGGAACGAGCAAGAAAACGTGATGAATTTAAGAAGCTGAATCCGAACTCAAATGTTACCGAACGTTCAAAAAACAAATAAATGGTCGTCCTTTGAAGGTTTCAAAAAATTTTAATTTTACTGATTTTACTTATTTTTATAATTGTTTATATTTCAATAGTAGGAGCTTAGTCAATAAGATCGAATCCCTTAGGTTACTTTTAGTTTCCAAAACTTTTAAAATTATTCTCATCACCGAATCGTGGTTGAACTCAAAAATCGATAACTCCCAAATACTCCACGACACTTCATACACTATAGCGAGATGTGATAGAGGTTCTAAAGGGGGAGGAGTATGTATTCTAATCGATAATGTAATTCCGTTTTCCATTATCAAAACCCCCAGAATTAAAAATTCAGATTTAATAGCAATAGATATATATTCTCCGACCTACGAAAAATTCAGAATCATATTAATCTACAGACCCACAACAAATGAAAAACCCGAAGATTTTCTAGCTCTCCTTGATACCCTATGTAGTCTTATTGCTATTAATCATAATTTTATCATCATCGGCGACTTTAACTTCCCCAACATGACATGGACATTTGGTAAACCCAAATCATTCTCTACCTCATTAACTGAAAAATCCTTCATTGAATTCATTAACAATTATAACCTTTTTCAAGAAATAAGCTCTCCAACCCGCAATAACAACTTACTAGATCTCATTCTCTCTCCTTCAACTTTTCGCATTACAAACTGTTCCATCAAACCACCTTTTAAAAATTCTGATCACAATAGCATTGAATTCCATCTAAACCTTAAAAGCATGCCTAAGAAACTCAAATTAATTTATGATTTTAACAAAGCAGATTATAATTATATTAATGAATTTCTCATCGGCTTGAACTGGAATACCATCTTTTCAAACTGTATTGATATCGATTCCCAATATAACAAATTTTTACAAATTATTCAGCAGGTTATTACTCATTTTGTACCCCTAAAAAGAACTAATAAAAACTCTATCATTATCCCGAAACATATTCAAAATATGATTAAATACCGAAACCTTCTATGGAAAAAAATTAGCAAACCTGAGATGCGCGTTAAATATCTCGCCCTCCAACATAAAATCGATAAAGAAACATCCAAATTTTTCCAAAATAGAGAAATGGCTAAATTCAAAGATCCTCGATCCAAATTCCAATATATTGGAGCCTTTCTTAAATCTAAAAAGACTAAAATTCCTGCATTTAAAGACAATGATCACATCACGCTTTCCGACTTTGATAAAGCTGATAAACTGGCTAAACAGTTCCAATCGGTCTTTAATTCTACAATATTTTCCAATGACGATATCAATATTTCTCAAGCCCATTCCCTATCATTTATTGACATAATTCCACAAGAAATCTTTAACATCCTTTCCAATCTTGACAATGTTAACAATGCATCACCAGACGGCATTCCAAATATCTTTCTAAAAAATACCGCTATCTCCTTGACTTCACCGTTAACCATTATCTTTAGAAATTCAATTATGACTAAAAAAATTCCCCGGATCTGGAAAAAGTCCATTATTTGTCCTATTCCAAAAAATTCTAACCCTAAGGAACCAATCGACTTTAGACCAATCTCTTTATTGTGCTCAACTTCAAAAATACTAGAACATTGCATAACCAAAGAAATAACAAATTTTCTCGAATCCAATAAACTTATTCCCCCTAATCAACACGGATTCCGTAAAAATCACTCAGTTACAACTCAACTCCTAGAAACTTTTGATGATTACTCACAAGCTATTGAACAAAAGAAATGTATTGATGTCATATTTTTCGATTTAGCTAAAGCTTTTGATACAGTCCCTCATGATCGACTCCTCAAAAAACTTGAAGCGATGGGAATCACTGATACATTACTGGATTGGCTTAAAGATTATTTGAATAACCGCTCTTTCTCTGTCCAAGTTGAATCAACGATGTCCGAAGAACACAATATTACCAGTGGTGTCCCACAGGGTAGCCTATTGGGCCCCATCCTATTTATTGCATATATATATGACCTTACTGAATTTTGTAAAACTCCACATGTCACACCTAAATTATTTGCTGATGATCTTAAGGCCTATTTCACTTTTGACTCTACACAATATAACTATCACTCTCCACTCCAAAACTTTATTAATAAATTTTCAAACTATTGTAAGATTAACGGCCTTAAAATCTCAATAAATAAATGCAAATCTTTACACATTGGCTCTAAAAATCCAAATCATGAATACTCCTTAGAAAACTCACCAATCCCAATTACACAACAAAATGAAAGCATTCGCGACTTGGGTATCCACTTCACATCCGACTTAAAATGGGAGTCACATATTAAGATTATCACTGCGAAAGCTACAAGAACCTACTTCACCATTATTAGATCACTCAAAACAAGAAACCCAAACTTTCTTATAACTCTCTTTAAAATTTACGTTCTCCCAATCCTCGAATTCGGATCGCCTGTTTTCAACCCCTACCTACAGAAAGATGTACTCTCCCTTGAAAATGTTCAAAAGAAATTCCTCCAAATTGTTTATTTACGTTCGGGCAAAACTAAAAACTCAAAACAATTACCTGACTATCACAAACTCCTCGAATTGTTTCAACTTGAACCTCTATCACATAGACGTCTAAAATCTAGCCTTATTCTATTCCACAATATTATCTCCGGCAAAATCCAACTTTCACACCCTAACTATTATACAACCAAACCAACCACTACTAGAGGTAATCCACACAATATCTTTATCCCATTTTGTTCAACCACAATTCGGAAAAACTCATTTTTCATTAAAATCCCAGATATCTATAGAAAACTCCCTACAAATATTCAAAAAGCATCCACTGATCTGTTCCCTAAGCTCTTAAACACACTCGATCTATCTCACATTTTTGACAAAAATTTATCACAGTAAAACTATTTATTCCCCAGACCATCAAATACAAATGATTCACTTATATTTTAAATGATTGTTTTATCTGAATGTCACGTATTTTATTGCGTATAAATTGAATTGAATTGAATGTATAAATCTATTTTTGGCAAAAATTTTTTTCTGTTAAATTTTTAATTGAACAGGAATGTTTTTAAGTAATCAGGAAAAGGCTTTTCTAGTGTCAATGATTTTTTATTTCCTTTAAAGGTATTTCAGTACCTCCTTCCTGGAGAAGAACGGACTCTCGGTCTTTAATACCGAGGCATTAAAGATTGAATCAAGGACCTTCGCCGGTCGAGGACTTAAGGTTGTGCTCCTGATACAATAATTACATCCCTCTCCTATTTAATTAATCCAAAATATGTTTAATAATAAATTTAATTTTATCAAGGCTGGGATAAATATTTTTTATAAAAAATTAATAAAAAAAGGTTGAAGCAAGATTATCTCTCATCCTTTCCACTCATTTCATTGTCATCTTATCAATGTTTCTATTTCTTCCTTTTTCCCTTCAATATTGTTAACAGAAGCGGAAGAACTTGCCAAAGTGCCATAATCACTTGAATGTCTTGTAAAAGAGGATTTTTGGAGTTTTTGGGTTTCGTCTACAGAATTGCTATGTTGAAGTATCATTGTTTGGGAAGAAGAAAATTTTTCATTATAGGGAAGTATGGCATCTTCTTCAGGCCATTCTTTGTCTACTAGACAGTAACGGTTAGGGCGGAAGTTGTGAAGCATAAAACGAATCTGAAAGAATTTTTTTAAAATAAATATTGAGGATAGGAAGAGGTTAGGGATGTATTTAGGTGAATTTTAGACCAAAATAGGCATCTTCCTACATAATTCCGAATTCAATCACTTTTTATCTTATTAAAATTCCAGAGGAGAGTAAACTCATTCAAGAATTATCAAAGTTTGCTTCAAGGCTTCAGTTTTTAGTTAATATTAGGTAGTGATGCTCGGGTATCCCGATCCCGACACGGGAAAAGTTCCCGAGTTTTTGGCTTCCCGACTCCCGAGGTCATTTCCTGACCCGACCCCCGTTTCCCGGGTTTTTCTTCTCCCGAGCATCACTAATATTAAGCATTCGGGTCAGAATGGCAGTCAAACGTAATGGAACCTTACATGAGGTATCTGGACTTTGTATCTCATTCTGTTAAAGGATTTGTCTCGAAGCCCCTATCATTTATCAAGGCCGAATATTTAAAAGGAATCTCCAAAAGGTATTCATGCAAAAAGTTTTTCGGTAAAGGTTAAAAATATCATAAATATCCTAAGTAGGGTTGCCAAAATGGCCTGACTCAGATTGAAAGATCGAGTCGGTCCTAAGATATTTGGCCCGAGAAAAACTCGAAGCACGACTCGATAAAAATGAGGCCAGAAAAAAATGACTCGAGCGTCGTCCCGACTCGAAAAACAGAAGTCATGTCCTATCATAAGCGACCAAAAGGCGATCAATTTATCGATACCTATATCATCAATTCAGATCTCTAGTCTATATCCCCTTACATTTTTTTTTTCAGCAAAAAACTCACAAAGAAAGCCCCCAAAGCAATCCCTGTCGCAGCACCACCAACAACATCAGTTAATCTGTGTTTGTGGTCTCTAACTCTCGAAAGGCACACAAAATAGGCAAACAAAGCAATAAAGAATTGAGTAAAGGATTTTATTACAGCAGGGAATTTGCAACGTTTTTGCATATAAAAAATCATAAAAGTGGCAAAGTTGCAAATAAATGCAGCGTGGCCAGAAGGGAAGGAGAAATATTCATTCTGAAAATTTTGTTTTTAAAATTAGAATGACATGGGCCAAGCTAATATCAATTTTATTAGCTTAGCCCATATGCCCTTCAATTAAATATTATTTTGATAATATATCTAATCGAGAAAAGATCTCGAACAAAAATCTTGGTCATTAAGAGTCGAGATTTTTACGATATCAATCTAGATTCTCTTACAACCCTTCCCGTCTGATCCCTAATTCTAACCATATTTACAAACTAAAATTTATCTTATTCCCGCTTATTCAAGGCAAGTCGAACCCAGATAGTAACAGCTAGAGATCTAAAAAGATATCTTCTAGATAATGAGATTTTTGTTCGAGATCTCGTCGCAGTCCGGTCTTTGGTAAGGATTCACGCTTATCTCTAGTAGGAAAATAAAATTAATATCCAAATAATCTCTCTCAATTAAAGACTTGCCTGATCAAAAAGACCATTAGTACATTCATAGTCTTGAATATATCCATATTCATCCGGAGGGCACAATCCACTCAGATTTTTAGGTTGGCAAACAGCCAAAAAGTTTGGTCTAAGTCTAGAACAAGTTCTCTTTCCCAAATTGCAAATTGAACTTGTTGAAAGTTTAGAACAGAGTTGGGCAGCTAAAGAAAATTTTTTTTATTCAAATTAAAATTCCTTAATTAGCTAGTCTTTGTATTTTATTCATATACATATCTCTATTTTATGGCCCAGTTTTAAAATAGATTTAGCCAGTAATCGGGAATCTATTTCGATTATGGACAGCTCTAGTCTCTTCTCTTATACGGAGAGATTTAAAAAGGATTTAGAGAAAGAGTTAAGCCACCGGCAGGATTCGAACTTGCGACAAGTATTTTAAAGCGTTTTAACGGTAAATCATCCTTTCAAGGTGAATTATTTTTACATTAGCCAGTTATAGGAAATCTATTTCAATTATGGACAGCCCTAGTCTCTTCTCTCATATGGAAAGTCCTGATTAAAAGGACCCCTTTTGCCGTATGAACAACGCTGATCAGTAGGCAATGATCAGTAGGGAGTTCCTTTATATGATATTCTCTAGATAATAAAAAATTTTATTTTGGCATTTTTAGAGGTTCTTGAACTTTTAAATTTTGTCCTCAAAGACATCCTTTCAAAAAATATTAAATTTATTTACCCAAAAAATACAAGGAATTAACAATCATAGGGTGCAAATGTCCATTCCTTCGGTGCAATCTTTTATCAGTATGGCGCCTTATTAAATGCCAAACTAAAGAAAATTCGCTGGAGATGATCTTAAAGAAATTTAAAATGAATTTTTATAACTAAATTATTAAATTACAATAATAGTCCCAACAATATTAGTTGTCCAGTCCATAAAATTGGCGGATACAGTATCTGGCACATATGGGAAACGAATTTCGTTGTCGTTGCAGAAGAATCCCTTAAATTGGTAGATAATATACAACTGAAACTTGCTTTTAGAATTGTGCATTATAATGAGAGGTTCACTAAATCGAGGGTCTATTAAAAGAGAGGCAGCTTAAATGAGAAGGTATTGCTTAAGCAGCTCCCCCAACGCAGTGGCTAATAAAGATCGACCTATGCCAGGACCAAGGCCCAGGTCTTTCCTGTACCCAGAGTCCAGGCCCAGGCTTTTCAAAAATCTCGATAACTAGTGGCTTACAAATTTTTGGAAATTAAAAATTTAAATTGAGAAGTACTCAATTCTGTGGGTACTTAAAAATGTGTTCTACTATAATATTAAACATCCTTATGAGGAAAATATTTGCCCTATAAAAAAAATTTTTTTACAAAAATACCTGTTTAGCATAGGGAGTTGAACGTGCCAAAGTTTTGAGTAGAACGAGTATTGGAAGGGACAAAAATAAATTAAAAACGTGTTGATAATTGGTGGGGTTAGGGGAATAATTTGATAAAGTTGAAGCACTTGAGGAGGCCATTTTTGGCAATTTTTTGAAGAAGATTTTTAATTAAAGTTTATTTTTATTTTTTGTTGAAGGAATAAATTTGATTTGAACGTTTCTATAAAAAAATTTAAAAAATCAGAATTTTATCAGAATTATTTTTTAAATAATAAAAGGTGTGGGGTAATACTGGCAATATTAACAGTAAGGTGTGCTTGCGCGCTTATAAAATTCCCAAAAGCGAACCTTTATCCTAAAAAATTTTCCATAAATTTATTATCCTGTTAACCTATTTCTTCCAAAATTTAAAAATTTTCCCTTTCTTATTTTTAAAGTTACGGCCAAAAATTCCTAAGCGTTCTAAAAATGACGTGTTCTCGAACACATCTATTTTATTTACTATAACTTTATAAATAATGAAGCAAAAATTCTGAAATTTTCAGAACATTTAGATAACACAGTTAGAAAGGTCTAAGCAAAATTTCACGAATTTAGGTTCTCTATTGGGGGCTGCAGGGCGCTCGGCGTAACCTCACCTCGTCCTTAAAGTGATTTAATTTTAATTAAATAAAAAATTAAGAAATGCAAAAATTAAAAAATTTAAAAATAAATGTGCATGTTTAAGAAGATTTTTGAGTTTAATAAATATAAAATATAAATTACAAAAAAAGGGTATTTTGGCTAATAATTTATATATTTGGGTGCATTATTATTTTACCCACAAATATTTAACGTTAACTCCCACTCATTTTACTGCCCCTTTTTTGGGAGAGGAAGGGAGGTAACTTTCTTCTCAATTTCTTTATTACCTTTCCTTTCAACCCTTCCTTGTCTTAAAATTTCTTGGACATTTTAGAAATTTTCTTCACCAAATAAGCATTCCACACAACAAAACTAAAAACAGTTCTTTTACTTTTTTTTTGAATTTTGATAGACAAAATATTAATTAAATAAATAATTTTTTGGCAAGATTATTGTTTATATTTATAAAATAATTTTTTTGTATTTTGTAATTTTTAAATTAGAAAATTTTGAAATAGTTGAAAATTAATTTTTAAAATAAAGTGCCGTATTGCCTCTAATAGAGAGGTTATCTCCAATAGAACGTCTGCATCCATTAGAGCGGTCCTTTGAGAGGGGATTGAAATATACGGGATGTGAAAGTAAAATATAGTCGAAACTCATTATAGAATAGACCTCTGTTTAGCACCCATTGGCCATTGATGAGGGTAAGGGTGAGTTGGATGTGACGAGGGGAGGGGATGAAGGTGAAGGGGAGGTTATGCCTAACAAAGGAGAGGCTTTTGGGTGTCCGTGATCGCGATGAAATTTGGTAGACTGGTAGAGCATACCCTTTCTATTGATAAAGCGACTCATTGAGAGGGGATTGAAGTAGAGAGCGGTCTGCCGCTCTATTAGAGAGAATACGGGATGTGAAAATAAAATATAGTCGAAACTCATTTTAAAGTACTTCCACTATTAAGTAATTTCCTTTAAAGTTTCGCCAGGGTTTGGTTGGGGATGGAGTGAGTGTAGGGGAGAGGGATATGGAATGGGATGAGGGATATGATCTAAGCTTCCCTATAAAACTGATTTTAGTGTATGCTGTTTTTTAAGCCACATTTCGGCTTACCTATAACGATCTTTAACAGTATTTTAAATTAAAAGTCAAAAATATTAAAATATTTTTTTTTTAATTTTATAGAGAGGAGTAAATTTATTTAAAATAAATTTTAAGCAATTAATTAAAAATAAAAATCAAAAATTAGTGATTGAAAAATTGCTGATTTTAACAAAATGGTAGTGACAAGTATTCTTTAAATATTTAATTAAAAATAAAATTAAAAATATAAAAAATTATGTATATGGTCAAATTCTGTCTCATTTAAATAGTTTAAAGCTTTAAACTATAATTTTTTAATTACGATTTTGATTTTTTTTCGTAGTTTCTAAATTGTGCTTAAATTATTTTTTAAATTTAATTTATGTAGTCTGAATATTTTATTTCATTTCCGTTAGTTTCAATATGTTGATATTAATTGTTTGGATCATTGGGTGATAAGTCCTTTTTGAAAAAATATATTTGATTGTTACTTGGCATTAGAGATCGGCCTGGGTCTGGACCAAGGCCTGGGTTTTCCCTGTATACAAAGTCCAGCCTCAGGCATTTTTGACCTTCCTGGGTTTTTCCTGGGCCTGGGTTTCTCCTAGACTACAGGCCCATGCATTTTTTGACCTTCCTGGGTTTTCCTGGACTACAGGCCCAGAATCTGGCCCAGGTCAATAAATCAAACCCCAGAGTCCAGGAACAGGTCCAGGCCTTTCAAAAATTCCGATCTCTACTTGACAATATCAGAATTAGAGTTAAATTACAAAATTTCGCTCTAACTTTACATTAATTCACGTGAATTTTTCTAAAAATATATTTAAGGCTTCAAAGAAAAATTGTTTTAAAATAATTTTGTTTTTGTTTTTATAGACATTAAAATGATAAAAATTAATCATTTAATGTTTAATATTTTAATAGTAAAAAAGGGAATGAATGACCTTCTAAATTCTTTGGAATATTTAAAAATTTCTTTGAAAAAAATTTATTTTCTTCAATTAGAAATGGACAGTAAATTAAATTATTATTATTATTTATTTTTAGTTATACATAGTTTATTATCATTTTATTTATGTTGGATGAAAAATGGAACGATTTTAAATTAAAAAAAAATTTAAAAAATCTTAAACTCAGCTGTTTTAAAATTAAAAATTTGTCATCGGTTTTTAACAGATTCAAGAGATTCCTTATGAAACGACAGAGGGTAAGTAAAGCAGCTGGGCTATAGCTATTTCTTTCCTTTAGCTAGGGCAAAAGGTTAACGGCGGCTGGGAACGAACCAGCATCTTCAGTAGACCGGACTGATGTGTTATTCATTACACCACGGCGCCTACTGCACAGCCTTAGGAATTAAATTACAGTGATCATGAGCATTGTACTGCGATACAGTGATCATACCATTCTTTGCATCCGTATACTTTGGAGACCTCTCTTTCCGGAATCAACGCAACCTAGTCTTTCGTTTTCGTTTTTCTTCTTTAAATTAACAAAGATTCGAATATGGATCAAGTCGAGAAAGTCTCCTCCAGTTTAGTTGATAAAGCAAACTGAATATGGTAAGAGTTCCATGGATCAGCATACTTTTGGAGAGCTCTTCGGATAATTGTATACAATCCCTAGATAATAGTATCAACTTTCTGGGAAAGGGTTGATTGGATCGTATACTTCAAAAACCTCTCTCTCTCTCTCTTTCCGGTAGACAAAGAATCATCCCTCCTTTTTAATTTTCCTTAGATTAAAAAAAGCTCCATGGACAGTCGGTTACGTCTCTTAGGTCGATTATTAAATCAGTGGCCCCTCAGTGGTCCATGATCCATGACCACAGATTTTTTCTTGAATAAAATTCAAATTTTAATCGACAAATTTTAATCGAATTATAAACTAAAATTCTTTTTTTTTCTTAGGTCGATTAAACTATGAATTCTTTTTTTAATTTCCAGACACTTCTACATAAACAAAAATTAAAATAACAGACAAATCAATTAATTATTAAGGAATTATATAAACTAAAATTCTTGAGCAGTTTTCCCCCTTTTCCTTCCAAAATGCTTGTTTCCATCAATTTCCGCCACACTGATCGATGGTTGACGAAAAATATTATTTATTTTTATGATTATTTATTTTCTCCATATACGTGAGAGTATTGAACCAAAGTCTCTTCCTAATAATAAAATAAAATAAAAATTTAGCCAAATACAAACACAAAATCATCTCTCAAATTCCCCCCCCCCCACCCCCCAAACCCATTTTACTGCCATTAAAAGCCATACAAAACTTTTTTTTATTTTTCTAGTACTTTTTCAATGTTGACAGTCGGTTACGTCCAGTCAGCTTTTTTAATACTTTTTAATACTAAAAGGAAAGAAAATATAAATTTTAGGACGGAAAAAAATCTTTTTTTTATTTTTGATGATAAATAAATGTCCCCTTTTTTCTTTGAAATTTTTTCTTGATTTTAAATTTAAGCGAATGTCAAAAAATTTTAAAAATAATCTGTTAGAAAATTTGGTCTAGAGAATTATTTAATTAGCTTTCCTGATTTACGGCTTTCCGATTTTTTGAGGATGCGACTTTTAAGAATATTGGACACGATCTTTTAGGACATGAATGTAGAAAAAAAATAATAATAGACTCATTTTAAAACCATGAACATCAAAATCGGGGAATTTTTAATAAAGTTATGGCCACTTACATATATGCATGTTTTTGGCCATATTCCTTAATTTTTAGGCTATAACTCTATTAAAATTTTATATCATTTCATGTATAATCATTAGCTTGTTTCATAAAATTAATCAGTGAATTTAGCTTAATTTGTCAAAAATTTATCCTCAAAAAGTGGGACCAAGGATTGCCATTTAGGGGCAAATTTAATTCCTTGTATCTGATTATTCCCTACCTTTTCAGATTTTTACTCCTCCAGAACTAGTCATAAAATCAAATAAATTATAATAATTGTACAAAATTGCTTTGATTATTATTACTATTTTATTATTCTTTTATTATTTTTATTTTTTGAAGAGATCATTGAAAAATACAATAATGGATACTCGGGAATCGAATAATAATAATGAAGACGAGGACGGAAAAATAATAATGGAAGGCAATATTGAAGGCAACAAGTTTAGTGAATTTTCTGATAAGTTAATAATTAATAAAAAAATAAAAAAATATTTAAATAAATTATAAATTAAATTTTATATACCGTATTTACTCAAATAATTACCCTGGGTAATTATTGTTTCGATCTCTCGCTGGAGGGGGTAATTATTAGGGAGGGGGTAATTATTTGAGAGAGGGCAATTATTATTTCGACCTTTATATTTTTATTTTATCATAGGCTTATGAACATGTATATACAATACGTTACCAAATACGGAGATAAAAAGTTGCATTTTAACCTTATTATCCCCTTAATATTTTCCACAAAACGGTATTATAACATCAATACTT